CTCATTCTTATTTCTATATCCCTACTATGGGTGGCAGTAATCTACACTATATCTTACTGACATTAGCACAAACTCTCATCAAAGCTCTCCACATCACTCATGTTCATAATATAATATCTCAATAAATATACACCACAAAAATTTTGCGATTAGCAGAACATAAATGAATTCAAAATAAATAGTTTTGTGATGATTTGTATGGCGGGTCGACTCCAGAATGGATAATGCTAAGTATCACGTGACGTATAAACGTCATCTCAACCTACGCCTTGAAGCTTCAAAGCCCAGCAATTCGGAGGGACAAGAACAACAATTGTCCGAATATCCGCAATATGACTATTTTTACTGACTTTGATGCTGGTCACCGTGACCTGGTAACAGTCACGAAATTCAACTTCTATGGCAACCGTATTTTGACCGCGTCTTCGGATCATCGCATCAAGGTCTGGGATCAAAAGGATGAAGGCTGGGAACTTATAGATACATGGCGTGCCCATGACGCTGAGATTCGCGATGTAAGTTGTGTATTTTGCGTCTGAAAGAATGGAAAATAGAAAAAAAGAAAAAGAGTCTTGACTATTTCCCTAATCCTGATCATGGATTTCGGAGTTCAATATATATGCGCTTAAGCCACATAACTTTGGCTAACTTTGCTCATGCCTTCACCGTCAAAAGGCAGCATGGAACGGACCTTTTACAGGGCAGCACATCGGCAGCGTTGGCGAGGACATGAGATTCAAGATATGGCAAGAAGACGCTACTCAGCCTCCGAATTCCGGACGCCGCTTTCGAAATATCTTTCGACTTACATCCCCTATTCGCGCCCCTTATGTCTCGCTCGACTTCCGCAACATTGACCTCGAATCATATCTCGCGCTTATCACGCGTGATGGCCTTCTCACGGTTCTCGAACCTGTCAGCCCGGATAGTATGGCAGAATGGCAACAGGTCGATCAGTTCAGAGTCTGCGTAGAGCCGTCGCGCGGTGAGGAAACCAGTTTCAAGGTACAGTTCTACCACGACGCCATGGATATCACGCAAATCATTTTGCCTGGATGGGATAGCAAGTGCCTATCCCTCGTTGTCGCCGCTATGGACACTGTAAAAATTTATCGCACAGATGCGAACCGGCGATTTTATCATGCCATCGAGCTTGGAGGGCATGGCGGCTTGGTGCGTGATATATCATGGGCCAACGGATCCGTGCGCGGTTGTGACCTGATTGCTAGCGGGTCGAAAGACGGCATAGTGAAAGTATTCGAAGTCTACACGACCTTAACTAATTCTGCCAATAATACAACAAATGGGGCTAGACGGCCTTCCTTGGGCCCCCTTCGCTCACCAACTGGTCGAACATCTACGCAGTCGGGTATTGGTACGGCTCTTGCCAACCGCTTACCTGCTACACTGATGAATCGGCAAGGGGGTGGAGATGCAATTTTCAACCACACATACAAAGAAGTCGCATCAATTGATAGCAAGCATTTGGACGTGTGGCAGGTGGAATTTTCCCAAGCAGGTGAGTAGGATTTCTTTGCCCAGTTCTTGTGATTCGGAACAATCCTGGAGCCACGGTCATATTTTTATGACATACGGGTTGTCCTTCCAAATTCTAACTGGTCAAACAGGAGATTGCCTCCTCTCTTCTGGTGATGATGGCATGGTTCGATTCTGGAAAAGGTCCATATCCGGCAAATGGCTTGAGTTTGCAGAAACCGATATGGCTGATGAGTACGCGTCCAATATACTATTATAACAATTCAAAAGACTCCCCTTCTGACATTGCACCCAACAGATGAGCCCCTCTACAGTAATTACTACGAAGTGTTCGCCTTATTTTTACCTTTCCCTAAGCTCTGGGTTTATCTCCTCATATTTTCCCTTCGTGATTGTTCTGACTTTCGTGACAGGACGAACTGGCTCTTGCATTTTAAGCCAATCGTTTTCTTTCTTGTATAATCTTCATTGGCATGTGGTTTGGCTTTACTTTTTGTATTTTACTACAGATACCCCCGCATTATACTCTTGTTTTCGCTATTAATTTCAAATCTTGTATTACTAAGGGCTTAGAACGATGGATAAATAGTTAGATGAGATGAAATTATAATTGAGGAATTCGCCAGCACAGCCGTAAGCTGCTATCTGTCCATTGGGCTGTTGGGCCATTGATTTTATGTCAAGCGTATAGCAACGTGCTCCACACAAAAATTTAAGTGTGCGAGCCCGGCCGGAGTACTGCAACACAGCTACAGAGTTGAAAAGTATGTTAGGGCAGCAGGTGACTCCAGTCGACCAAATACGTGGGCACACGAAGTGAGCACAACGGTCGCGAAGCCAAAAAAATGCCCGTAGTTCACTCGAGTACGCCAATATGACCTAGCCATCCTATGAAGGGTTTTCTATTCTCAGAAAACCAGAAACTGGAGGTTGATTATGCGTTCAGAAGGTTTGTATAAAAGTGTGAGAAAGGAAAACGAAAAGAGGAAAGAACAATGTCGTCGCGCCGAATAGAAAAGACAATGGGATGCGCTAGTCTGTATTTGGAGCGATATTCGGAAATACTTCCGGCCCGCCCAAATCACGCTAAGGCGAACTATTTAAAAAATCTTTTCCGTGAACTAACATTCTTCGCTTCCTCCTGGCTATCCTCGACCTTAGCATTGTTTCCACAGTATTTCCTGTTTCATGGAGACTAATGATCATGATGATTGTCAGGCTTAATAAATTGGTCTGGCTGTTTTATACGCTTTCAGATACTCATTCCCCTATGCATCACGACGAATAACCTAATGGGGCAAAATTGACAGGAGGCTGCTTAAACAGTGGTCCAAGAATTGGAAAAATCAGACAGGATATTAAAAAGAAACAGTTAGGTTGGGAATAATAAACAAACAGAGAACCCCTTACAGAAAACCACAGCATTGCCAGCATCATGCCACCTCTCAATGGCCATCGCATGCATACTTCGTTATTTTATATATCAAGTGGAAGATCAAGCCTATAACAGTTTTTTAGCAGAGACTGTCGTCTACTCCACCCTTCCGTTCCAGGCACCCACCGAACGGCGAGGACTATTTAATATGACGGACATTATTTCCTTTGCACATGTACACCTGTATCAGCAACTGCCTATTCATTGTGTTTGGATATAAGTCTCAGAATAGATCTTTCTTCACAATATAATAAGCTATATTTATTTAACTCATGCAACTAGTAAAGTTTTGTAATATTGATATGCAGCATTCTAGACGCTTTGAACAGCAGACGGACCGGGTCTAAATTACAAATTACTGTTATCCCAGCAACAAAAAAGTTAAGACAGGCGAATCATTCATCAGACAATCTTCGCAAAATCAAAATATGATAATCGAACGGCATGGAAAAAGAGGAGAACAGCATCAAGGCTTGAGCAGGGTGGGCATAAATGATTCAATCCACCTTCAAAGAACAACAATTATAGAGAATAGAAATGCAGGAAAGGAATCCCTCCTGCTAATCATCCAAAATCAACAAGTAGTTATGTATGTAGTTATGTGCAGCCAATAAAAAAAATTGGACCCGCAGGTAACTCCCTGAATTTAAAGGGAAACATTGAGGACAGTAGGAATCACGCACCACAGTTGTTTTTGTTAATTGGTTTGTATACCCAAATCCCCTTCACGCCGCCACTTACGCTTGCGGGTGTTCCCGGTCAACATGGGAGCCCACAATGCACAAAAAAGACGGTCAGTGTTGAAGTAAGTAGCAATTTCATCTACACTGTGTCCGGGGGGGAAGTCGTGGATATATTCCATGTTTTCAAACTTCAGATCGCGGATATGACGTGTACTCGCTATGGAAAAGCAGTTAGTTCTCTACTGGAATGGGGTGTGTCACGGAAGGAGGACAGAGAACTAAGCAAAAATTCACTATGAACTCACTCCTTAGGGCAGGAATGGCGTTTGAGAGCCTATCCACCAAATCCTTCGTCTTCTTGTCCAGCCTTCTATATCGTCGTTCTGACTTGATGGTTTCAATTTTGTACTTTCGATGGAAAAGACAACACAATTTAGAGAATACGTCTTCCAGCTCCAAGATTTCAGGCTTCACCTGCTCATACACAACAGGCTCTTCAGTTCCCTTTGTTATACGACAAACGTCCACTAGTGAAAGCTGGGTTGAATTCATTGCAGAAGCAAGAAGAGTAACAATGGAGCCAACGTGGCCTTCCGGTATGTCTTTTTGATTCAGCAGCCTGTCAAGTCCAATAAGCGCACGCTTGGTGTAGATAACTGAGGTTTGAAAAACCGCACACTTAAATGCTTTGTTCATCAGAGGCGGTATCATCCACTTTCGAGACAATTCGGCAGGTTTAATTTGAAATACTTCCTGAAGGATTTTGAGGCCTGTCGATGTAATCTTTATGCAAGCCGAAAGTATAGTCGTCAGGATAGCCGTCTTCATAGCATCTAGCAGTGTAACGTTAGGGACAGTTCTAGGTTCAGCTCTCTTCGCGGATGTCTCTGACATGGCGGATGGACTTAAGTGGATTCCGCACTCAGTCAAATAGTGGTAAATCGCTCGCAGTATCCCACAGCCCGCATCACCGTGAATCTCGTTCGTGCCCGTAGTATTAACCCACGAAAAAAAGAAATCAGGTCTTCGGACCCCCTGGTCAATCCAAGATCTAATATTCTTAACCAAATCTTTTAAATTGCCTGCCGGTAGAATGGGGAGGACATCTTCAGAAACGACGCTTGACTTTTCCTTGTTTATTGCAATTCTCTGGGATCTTGCAATCACATCCCCCTGGTCATCAAACATTCTCGCAAGAGTATCAACAGGTTCGCCAAACCCAACACTAAGTTGGATAATGAACGTCGCAGGTAATCCATTCCGAAACTCATTCTCATAATAATAGGGCCAATTACAAGATAATTGTTGTCGCAATGTGGCTAATAAATATTAATCAGATGCTTTAGTCACATTACATCCGACTGAGGTTTGACATACCTGGGAAAAATGGTGAAGTAAAATCTTCCAATTGATTTCTAAAACAACCAGGTGTAAAGCGATACGGTCCTTTGCCTTCGAATATGGATTGGCAGCTATCACAAGGCGTTCCTCCGGTACACTACAAGGCAAATTAACATTAGATTGCAGATATTTTGTTGAGTACAGTAATACAGATTAAATACCCGTTCGTGTTTAAACCGACACTGCCAGCAACTCTTCTGTTTCGGTGTTTCATGTATGTTCTTTGTGAACTCATTTGAACTGGCAGTTTGCGGGGATCTCCTTTTATCCACAAATTCAGGCGAAATACGCGAGCCATGCAAATCTTGACATCCATCGTTGAGTATTCGAGTGCCCTGTTGCTCAACCAAGCCAGAAACAAGCTGAGAATTGTGTCTTGCGAGAGCGGCATCTGTGCTTCTATGGCGCTCAGGTATACCATACTCACGACGACCAGCAGACAACCCATTATATGGGAGTGACATAGCCGACCTCGGCAGATCTGGTGGATAACCAGACTCTGCTAGACGCCCCATGTATTTTCTACGGCTGGAGCAGCTAACCCCTAAACCACTTATCGAATCATTTAAGGGAACAAAATTGTTATCAATCCCTAATGGCATGGGCGAGGCGTTGTCAAAATTGTATCCACCTTGGGTCCATTCAGCTCTTCGCAAGCCGGGAGGAAGTGTTGCGCTGGAAGTCGCACAGGACCAAAACTCCGGAGCAACTGAGGAATGGTTCGAAGTCCCTTCCCAATATCCTTCTGGACATTGGGATTGGGTAGCTGGGGTCTTCGCGAGACCAGTTGTAAAGTGACTATTTGAGTCATATTGAGTAAGAGTGGGAAATTTCGAGGCATAACTCTGGCTTGTAATGGATTGGGCATCCCCTACATCGCAGTAAGAATCCATGCCGCGAGCACGCATGGATGGAGCAACAGGTTTCCATTTTCCCCTCTCAATCAATCCATCCTTGCTTTGGGAAATATCGGCAAAAGAGTGATTTCTTGCCCTCTGAGGTAAACTCAAATAATGGTCGCTCATGGTGGTCTTGAGGATGGAGGCGTAACGTTCTTGGATCGGACGGGTGATTCTATTAGCAAGGGATGAGTGCAAAAGATTCTAACAAAAATTCAAGGACAAAGACCAGATGCCGGATATATCAGTTTGCAAAGTCGAGCTGAGTTCTATCAGTACGGAAAAGGGAGCAAAAATGTGAAGAATCGAGAGAGTAAGGAAGAATAGCACAGAAAAAATGGAAAGGGGAAAAAGAGAATGCGGGAAAAACGGACGTCCATCACTTCGTTGGGCATCAGAACGCCTCACTCCTCAGTCCGTAAGTGGAGATATTCTAATATTTAAAATGGAAAGTCAAATCAGCCCACCACTCCAGAAGCCGAGGATAATAGCTCTTCAACAAAAGGAAAACACCTAAAAGCAGTCCGCTGAAATAGCTCCCATAGTCTAGCCACAAATATAGCTGCAATCCCAAGCTCTGGAGACCAAGTTGAAAAAAAGCGAATTGCCCCCAAGGATAGAATGTTCAAGCGTAAGACGGGCTCGGCCAAACCTATCAAACGTTGTTTTGGAGTAAGGCGTCCATCCAGGTAGAAGTATTTGCTGGCAAGGCAAAAGTGGTTGTGAGGCCCCTCACCGAGGTTAAGCACATTGTCAGCATCGTCCCTTTGTGAATACGACTTTTAAGTGACGAACCTTCACGGCACTGGCTTCGATTTTTCCTAAATTTGACAGGGAGTTGTTATTTTGGATACTCCGTCCATTCTGCCCTGCTCAATTCCGCGTCTGGGGCCATTTCGAACAACCTGCTAGTTAGTCAGCAGTTAACAGGACTGGGTCATCACTCATTGCTAAAATTAACTGGAAGAGTTGGTATGAAGGTCTGCTGGCTTGGGGCAAACAATGATAAGGATTCCGCAGAATCTAGCGGTCACGCCTTACTAGTATTTAGAACAAAAGAATCCGTCTGGTAGAAATGAGCCTCACCCAAAAATCAACGGGGTCGAAGTTCAGATAATGGGTGTTCGACACGAATATAATCCTTTTCCTCCTCTATCAAAATTGATGTGATTTATGTGAGGCGAGAACAGGGCGAACGCTTTGGGTACTGTTGCATTTTAATGCCCTCTTCGCTAATCCAGCAAAACTTCCTATGGTATGTTATCAGCAATTGCAAGTCGATCTTTAGTCAATTCTTCCTCGAATCCCAGAGCCTTGTCCTAGATCACTGTCAAAGGCACACCTAAGAAGGCAGATTCCGTGAAATAAATGAATAAATGAGATGAATAAAAATCGCAATGACGAATTGTGAACAGGGCATCGATTTTCTGGACCTCAACTGCCACACTGCCTGAAGATGCCACTGTTAATTACTCCCTTTTTACCTTGGCATTGAACCCTCATCAAGGCGAGAGCACCCCGGCAAGGCACTCCGAGACAATTCTCTTTCTGTCATCATCTCCACAGTTCTCAGCGAATGCCGAAACCGAGGCCTGGTGTTTCTTACGCAGACATGAAGCGTCCCTAGGGCCGACATCGGTCAACTCGATGTGGATTCCTGCGATCCCGAAAAGACTACTCTCATTCAACACGTTAAGCTGCCAGCGAAACTTGATCCCTCAGAGCGGTTTGCGCCCTTCCTACACGGATTCGGCCTCGTCGTGATCACATCACTCAAAACCCGAGAGCAACCCGTTGTACGACGAGAAAATGAGTCTGAAACGACACCCCCACACCACTCGGAGTTGCAGTGTTGGATTCCACTATAAGCACCTTGGGTGCTCCATGCCGGAAAGCTCAGAAGATGTGAAGTTGATATAATAAAATTTTTAAACTTGGGCCACTAGCCGCGCTTAGCAGAAGCTCCACAAATGATAGCGTCATATCAACGCTCCTCGACCTCGAGTCTTGAGATGATTCGACACACAAATTTTCCTTTAGCCGAACCCCACCGATAGGCCACTCATTCGGAGTCATTCCACCGCCTGAGTTATTCTGCCCACAAACTTCCACCATCTGGGAAATGACGTCCATACAATCCTTGGGCTTCGATATTGCTAAGTGGAAGCGTATATGTCGCTGGCTCGGGTGGGTGGATTCTCACGTCGCGGTGAGATATTCCACCGATGGGTGTTCATTCGAGACGTCTGGGAGGATTGGAAACCACAATCAGCATTTTGTCGTTCGAATAGCAACGTAATGAAGGTGTTTGGGATGAAAATTTTGCGAAAAATGCCTTTAGCAGGACATGTCTTGGGCTGAATTTTAGAGCCAAAAAACACAAATAATTGGTGCAGTGGTTGAAACAAAGCCTTTCCTCACTAGCACAACTTGGCCTTTATAGTAATAAAGGAACAGAGATGACTATGTGTGCATCAAGTGAAGCGGCGGTGTTGTTGGAGGGATATAGCGACTGCATATCTTCCTGCCATATCGATCATTTAGGGGTCTCGTGGGACTAACGAGCGGTTTTGAACGTATTTCTGATGAGAAATAAAAGTATATATTCCATCCTCCTAATTCTAAGCAACAACCAATCGTACAAAGTGCATCCAGTCAAAGGATATCCCCGCTGATAATGGCGGTGAGATATACATATGCACCCGTTGAAACCTGCCCCTAATCCACCATAAAATCTAGAGCCCACTCCATTCCTCCCCTTTCGATCCCTTCCCCCCTTTCAAAATTGATATCTTTGTAGAGCAAAATGTTTCAAAAAATCCAAGTTCGCGACAAGTTACAAAAGTAGAGGAGAAGGAAGAGTATCCACAATATTTAGCCAATATGCTGCCTTGCGCATATTCGTCAGCAAAAAAAAAGGAAAGGGAAGGAAAAAAAAGGAATACCATATCCCTATAATTGAATCGAAACTAATAATATCTGAGGCATCACTTTGGACGGCTTAGGACAGCCAGGGTATGTCTATTCAAGTGTCATTATAATGGGGATAAGCGTCAAGAAACTGCACCTCGAGATGAACATGATAGCGATAAACACATCTCAGAGTCGAAATCAGGGGAGTGGTCTGGAAATGGAGCATTTGGAATCAGGGGCCCGTCGTATCCTTCTAGGCCCATATGTGGACCAAAGCAACATAGAGAAAGTCAGGCTTTTCCAATTAGTGGAGAGACACTCCTATCTTACTTAATACTATCTTGAGAGCTGATACAAACTCTTTATCCAGAATGTCATGATGCAAGCAGCAGCGTAAATTCATATATCAACCAGTTCGAGAGTTGTAACGATCGTAAATGTTCAGGGTTGCTCCACATTTTTCCTGAAAGAGCGCTCTTGCGCAACCGGGCTTTCCAGGCAACCGTAGTATATAACCAAGGATCCACTTGTTTTTTAACCTTAACTAGTACACTGCTATGGCAGAGACCCGTTTGAGTCATAATATTGGGTCCCAGAACGGTCTCAACGTCATCCACAATATGTGCTGAACCAAATGAAATGTTGTTTCGATTGAGTTTCTATGCTCGAAATTGTTTATTTGACCTAGGCTTCACTTGTCTAAGACATCAGAAGCTGCAAGCAAGCTGCTCTTCTCCATTTATCAACGTTCACTCCCCGTAGCGACCTTATAACTTTGTCCGAAACTTCTTTTCCAATACCAAGTTCTTTACAAACATTTCCATAGACCTGCACAGCATGTTTCCAGTCAGCCCTGTCGGCCGAACCCAACGTTTGACGAAGGAATATTTCGATAATTGTCAATGTTGTTTCCCCCATTGGGCCTATTCTCGGGGCATATATATTCGTGAAGTAATGACCCATTCTCGGTTCATTCTGTATCTTGCACGCGAGTTTCCGGATACTGCTCTTCCACAGTCCGTGTTCCGACAGCCCATCTTCCACCATTGTCTCTAGAAGCTTTGGCGCCATCACCACGGTATTCTTAAGTAAACTCAGTGTGGTCAGACCTACACTGGGCTTTCACATTTGAAGACTTGAAGTGAACCGCAGCCAATCTAGGTCAGGGATTTGTTAGCAAATCAACATCAGGAAGAAGAATATCATGAAGAGTGCTTACAATATACAACTTTTCACCCTATATACACGGGCTAATTCTGGCATCTCCGTCACGGCGCTGGATGAGGTTATTAGGGTGTCCAACCAAGGGAAAAGTAATTTCTCCTTGTAGATGGCCTGACGAATTTGTCCCTGTCCGCCATTTGTAGTCTCACCCGCTGATAGTTGATTTGTAAATGGGACGTATTTTAAGCATAATTTAAGGCAACCTGCATGAGGCCAATGCTGTG